GAGTGGTATGGTTAGTTCAGTAAGGAAGATACACTTGAACCGGATTCGAGGACGAATCCCTATTAAGTGGGGGAGACTTGTCATGTCCCCGATCCTGAGTATGATCGTCTGGACGGACCATGGTGAGAGGAGACGCATTAGTCAGGTCACGAGACCTAAAGGCAAGCATACCATGGTCTAGCAACGTGGTTAAGGGCGCCAGGGAGCTGAGACTTAGCCATATAAAGAAGGAAAATGAGTTAAAGAAGCTACACGAGTAAAGGGGTAGCTCAACGGGGTTTTGGGACAGCTCGACCTAGCTCGGGGAAGCTCGGTGAGCTCAGCCCAGCTCGGTCTAGCTTCACACTCACTGGTCAGCTCACACCAGCTGAACCGTCATGTTCCCATTCCTGGAACTTGACACAAGTCTTAGACATTCAATAGTAACGAGACTGCTTTGGTTCAGATCATGGAAATTGATCGTGAACAAGCTCGATGAAGTAAATGACCAGAATGGATAGTGGGAAAACTAAGTCTAGGTCGGGAGATAGACCAAGGGATTTAGAAGGATTGTATAATATGAAGATATCAAGCTGTACGAAGTGTATCACAGCTGGGTGATGCGAGCAAAAAGCTCAACCAGCTGGACGGAGCTCAGTTGGAGCTCAAGTAGAGTGTGTCAGCTCCCTGAGCTGGATGGACTAGCTCACTCAGCTGGGTCAGCTGGGGATCAGCTCAACTCAGCTGGACTTAGTGTTCAAGTCTTGGGCAGTTGGGCCGGGACTGGACAGTGACCAGGCTAGGTGGATGACCCATGTGTACCAATGGGCCAATGGACTCTTGTGGTTGGATCAGGGACGTGGGGAATCAGTTTGGGCTTGTTTTGGACATGTCAAGGAGTGGTTTGTCATACCCAGGACGTCTGGTAACTGTCTTAGGCGAATGGGTGTGATCTGGATCGTTGATTAAATCAATGGCCAGAAATGAAACCGAAGGGATGCAATGGTTAAGAAGTAACCACCCCTTCTTCTATATAAGGAAGGCAAGTCCATGCTTTTGCACGCATGCCAGGGCTTCCTCCTACACCCTGAAACACAAAGAAATACAGAGAAAATACAGAGATTTGGTCGGATTCCCAATCCAAGATCCATGGTGATGTGAAGGCCACAAAGAGGCAGTTTTAGGACATATCAAGAGGGAAGTTGAGAACGACTCTCTGCACGGTTTTGATCATTGTTGACAACACCCCCAAGTCTTCTATGGAGCCTGAGAACACATTAAAATGTTGAGGAAAGAAGGGAGATGACCGGAATTCATTCCCAAAGGCCAAGACAGCCTTAAGGGCAGATGTGTGTAGAAAGGCAGTTTCATGGGAGTGGAAAGGAAATTATGAACGAACCTGTGGTGGTGTTTGATCCTGGATGAACACATCATAGGCTTCCTCTACATCTTGGGAACACACTCAAATACCCAGGAGAGAAGGGAGAAGGCCGGACTTCAATCTCAAGCCATGAACAGCTTTGGAGGTGAATGCAGTGCAGAAATTGGTTTTCATGGGAGATCAATGGAAGGAACCATTGGTGTGACCCAGGGAGAGATCATATCAATACAGGAGGTATGTGATAAGACTTTATGGAGGTGTTCTTTGGAAGAGCATGGCCGGACATGATGCTGAAGACACAAGATCTAAGCTTAGTGATGTGAACTAAGAAAGCATCCATTCTTCTTTTCTATCATCTCCTACTCTTCATCTCTTTCTGTTTGTGGCCGTGCATGGGTTAGGGACACACAAGCCTTAAACCAGGGACCTTGGCCGGTTTAAAGGCAGTTTCTGGCTGAGATAGGGTTTTCTACCCAATGTCGGTTTTCGTGTGACCAAATCCCCTAATCCCTTGCATACATTAGTTTTATGAATTATAAGAGTTTGAGGAACAAACAGAATTGGATTTGGAGTTGTCTAGGTCAAATTCCATTTTTATTATTTTTGGGCCGGTTTGGCTGGTCAGGGTCGAGATCGGTATGATCGAGACCGGTTATGAGGAATCTGACTTGACCATTGTCTTAGTTGGGATTTTTCATGAATTATCATAGCCTTTGTATAATTTTTAGACCACTTTTGAAAAAGGGTCAGATTTGGGCAGGGACTAGCCCTTAGGCTCGGAATCCTGCAATTGCTAGAACCGTGTGATAGGTTATCGGATTAATATGTATTGATTGTACTTGTGTGGTTATAGAGCATGTTTGCTTGTTGTCATACTGGTACCTGAGGGTAAGGCTGGTACTGGGTGGTGTGGACCACAAGTATGGATTATGTTTGTTATTATGCAGGGGAGTACGTGTGTGATCTGATCATGGGTAAAGAGGGACGACCTGATCCATGGAGGATGGACCAAGGTGTCTTCTCTGTTTGATCAAAGGATGCACAGGTTAGTCCAGGAGAGGGACTTGCTATCATATCCTACAAGCATGAGGAGAATGGGTGATGCATTAGCTGAGAGGAGCTAGATGCATTGCCATAGCTGATGAAGACTTTCCAAAGGTTACTTGGTCAGTGGGGATTGTTTGTTTAATGACTAAGTACCTAGGGGAGAGTTTATGCAGGTGTAAGAGTGCTGGACGAGTTGACATGAAGCTGGGCGCAGCTATCTTGTAGCTTGATCAGCTGAAAGAGATTAGATGGAACCTCAGGAGAAGTGGTTTAGCTTAGCTAGCTGGATGAGCTATCTAAACAAGCTGAGGCAGCTGGCCTTAGCTCAGTTTCAGCTAGCTCAGAGCTCGATTAGATGGACGAGCTAGCTAAGTCAGTTAGGAGTATGAGCTAGCTAAGTCAGCTAAGAGGATGATCTGACTAGGTCAGCTGGACCGATGAGCTAACAATCTGTGGATGTGGCAAAGGTATGATCTAGCTACTTTATTTTAGATCTAGCTAGAATGGTTTAGGGGAATGGAACCTTGGACTTGTATGACTTGTACCATGTAAGGATCGATCTATGAGCTGGAAGGTAGTTCAGTGAACTGACCAAGGCATAGACGATTAGATTGGACAAGTGTTAGATTGATTTTAGACCAATGGTTAATATAGTATAGTCTGGTGCGTATGAATAGAAATGATCTAAGCTAGGAAATACTAAGATAGTCTTAAGCTAATATCTAAGTTGGCCCTCGCCTATGGGCGATATTATAAATAAAGGGCAAAATATTTAGGTTCGGTCCGGAAGAGGACTGAGCGACGTGAGGCTCTGACCGCGGCCCGAGAGGAGGGGATCGGGTCTTACACGCTCACTCGGTCTGTGAGCTCCATTCAGTGCGATGATATGTGTGTTAACTTTCGGAGGCTCGAAAGTCTTGTTCACTGACCCTGTAATCACCAGATGACAGTTTCCTGTTTTTTTGCCTCACTCACACGGTATCGAAAATCACTTCCCGATAGGTCACCCATCCTTTCACTACTCTAACTCAGACACGCTTCTAAACGGATGTACAACAAAAAAGGTAAGGGCACTATAGTGACATAGATAGTCAAATCAATTCTACTAAACGTTTCATCACATACCAGAAATCGAGATGTTACAGTTCACTCCCTCTCACAGAATGCCATGTCCTCATTGCACACCACGACAAGTCTCAAGACGCCTCACAGATCAGAATTAACATGGCTAACAAGCTCTAATATCACTTGTATCACCCCGAGCACCCACAACTAATGGACCTCTCACGCCCACTCACTTGGTCTGTGGGTCCCATCCCATACGATGAGCAGTGCGTTAATTTTCAGAGGCTTGAAAGACTGTTTACTGATCCTTCAATCGCCACATGAAATTTCTCCATGCTTTGGCCTCACTCGCACAATATTGTGAATCACTTCCGAATAAGTCACCCATCTTTTCTCTACTCGAGCTCTAGCACGCTTAACGCTAGAAATCTAAACGGATGCGTGACATATAAGGTGAATGCACTTTGATGACATAGGTTGGCAAATCAATTATCTTAAGTTTTTCCGCATATACTAGAAACAGAATATTACAATTCACCCCCACTCATATGATGAAGTGTTTAATAGAATTGATTTGGTTACTTATGTCACTAAATACACTTACCTTTTGCATCGTTCATCTGTTTAGAACTCCAGAGTTACGCGTGTTTGAGTCGGAGTAGTGGAAGGATGGGTGATCTGTTGGGAAGTGATTCGCGATACCGTGTGAGTGAAGCTAAAGCACATGGAAAGATCATATGGTGAAGTATGGTCAATAAACAAGACTTTCGAGCCTCAAAAAAATTAACACACAACTCGTCGCATGGAATGGTATCCTCGAGCCAAGTGAGTGGGCGCGGGAAACCCCAATTAGATGTGGGCGATCGAGGCATTGCAAGTGGTTCAAAGCCAAGTTACCCATCTTGGTTCTGACCCTAGAAATGTCTTGATACATTTTGTGGTGCACAACAAGGACGTTGCGTTCTATGAGTGGGGGTGAATTGTAACATCCCGATTTCTAATATATGTGGAAGGCTTAAGATAATTGATTTGGCTATTTATGTCATCAAAATCTACTTACCTTTTTCGTCACACATCCATTTAAAACTCTAGAGTTAAGTGTGTTAGAGCTGGAGTAGTAGAAGAATGGATGACATGTCGGGAAGTGATTCGTGATACCGTGCGAATAAGGCCAAAACACGGAGAATTGTCATGTGGTAATTGCAGGGATCGGTAAATAAATTTGAGCTTCAGAAAAATAACGCACCAGTCTTCACATGATTGGATCCACCGGCCACAGGCGTGAAAGATCAATTAGCTATGACAGTCGGACAAGTGTGAAGAGACTGAACGGAGGTAATATGAAAACATTGTGTTCGCCCTAGCCGTTCTCTCTCTTGCACAGAATCCAAGGCATCCGCACATCTATATCCACCACCAGAATGAAGGTTTCTCCCCGGCGCAGCTTCTCCTTGGCCTAACAACAAGCCTCTCCACCGCTCCGAAGACGTCTCGCTCACCACCCCGAAGCTTTCCCTCTTCCCCTTCAATGGAGTCTTCTGCAACTGTTTCCCTAGGATCTCTCTTACCGCCTAAACCACCAGATCCAGATCTCGACATGGTGTTTCCAACGGATCCGCCAGTCCCTCCTGTCCCTCCCGACCCTCCACCGATTATCCTGGTTAGAGCTTCTCTCTACCAAATCCCATCTTACGCCGTACCTTTCCGTCAAAAACTATCCATTCCGTCGGAACCACCAGATCTGGATTCTCTGAGTTCAAACTCTGGATCTCGAGGCTGTGATGTTGTCCTCTTGTTCTCTAGTGTCTCATCATCCGGCTATGGATGTCTCGCCTTCAGACCATTTCCTCAGATTTTCACCCAGATTTCAACTCTAAAGTATCCATCCAAGATGGTGACAAAAAATGATGGTGATGGTTGTCTTCGTGTGTCCGCTAGCGACACTTCTTTCGCCTTCCGGCTCTTATTTCCTATGATATGCAGGTCTTTATTTGGTTGTGCCAACTGGCCTACCACTCCTCCTTTATGCAGTTCTTCTACGGGTTTCTTTCTGGATGTTGGTGTTGTGTTTGTGTATCTCTTTTCTTGGTGGCAGGTAGAAGAGAAACTCATTGTCATCTTTATCCCGAAGAATATGGATGTGGCGGGTTACGATTTCCTGCTGGTCCCTTGTTTGAATCAGTCTCCTCTCCTAATATTTCCTCCTATATGGAGTAAATTGGATGTACAAGTTTCGTTGGTATTGCAAGGATTTTCCTCCCTTCGAATGCTCTTCTCTGCGTATGGTGCACTGTGTGTGGTCTTACAGGTTATACTAGATGCGGTCTTTGAAGAAACTTATAATGTTGTTGTGATACGATTTCATATTGTTCCTTTTTGTGATTTGTATCGCCATTCTATCTCCTATGTTATTGTTGTTTCTGTTTGTTTGGCTGTCAATAGCCCCTTATGTTATTGTTGTTTCTGATTGTTTGGCTGTCAATAGCCCCTTTGTATTCTCCTTTGCTGGAGTATAAACATATTTAAAAGACTAATGCAAATTTGGTTTGATCAAAAAAAAAAGCTATGACAGTCGGACACTACACTAAAGATTCTTATTTCAATACATTAGAGCAAGGGTTCTGACCATTGAATTCTCAAGATACAAACTGAAACACATTATATATATATATATATATATATTTAATTATGATTATTTTAAATTACAGAAAACTAAATAAAAATAAAAATATTTATATGTTTTTGTTTTGATTGAGTTTTTTGTAAAATTAAGATACTCATAATTAAATAATATATATATATATATCTTGAGTGGAGTTGCTCTTATAAATGACTTCGTATCATTTGTCACGAAATGTGGCCTGGAATTAGCATTGTTGCATGTTAATCATCTGACCTATGT